AATGTCCATCAGTGACAGACTGGATTAAGAAAATGTGGCACATATACACCATGGAATACTATGCAGTCATAAAAAAGGATGAGTTCGTGTCCTTTGTAGGGACATGGATGCAGCTGGACGCCATCATTCTCAGCCAACTATCGCAAGAACAGAAAACCAAACACTGCATGTTCTTGCTCATAGGCAGGAATTGACCAATGAGATCACTTGGACACAGGAAGGGGAACATCACACACCGGGGCCTATTATGGGGAGGGTGGAGAGGGGAGGGATGGCATTGGGAGTTATACCTGATGTAAATGAGGAGTTGATGGGTGCTGACGAGTTGATGGGTGTAGCACACCAACATGGCACAAGTATACATATGTAACAAACCTGCACGTTGTGCACATGTACCCTAGAACTTAAAGTATAGTAATAATCAAAAAGAAGATATTTATGCAGCCAACAAACACATGAGAAAACTCTTCATCATTGGTCATTAGAGAAATGCAAATCAAAACCACAATGAGACATCATCTCAGGCCAGTTAGAATGGTGTTCATTAAAAAGTCAGGAAACAACAGATGTTGGAGAGGATGTGGAGAAATAGGAATGCTTTTACACTGTTGGTGGGAGTGTAAATTAGTTCAACCATTGTGGAAGACAGTGTGGCGATTCCTCAAGGATCTAGAAGCAGAAATACCATTTGACCCAGCAATCCCATTACTGGGTATATACCCAAAGGATTATAAATCATTCTACTATAAAGACACATGCACACATATATTTATTGCAGCAGTGTTCACAACAGCAGGAACTTGGAACCAACCCAAATGTCCATCAATGATAGACTGGATAAATAAAATGTGGCACATATACACCATGGAATACTGCACAGCCATAAAAAGGATGAATTCATCTCCTTTGCAGGGATATGGTGCTGGAAACCATCATTCTCAGCAAACTAACACAAGAACAGAAAACCAAACACTGCATATTCTTATAAGTGGGAGTCGAACAATGAGAACACATGGACACAGGGAGGGCAACATCACATTTGGGTCCTCTCTGGTGTAGGGCGGGTAGGGGAGGGATAGCATTAGGGCAAATGCCTAATGTAGATGATGGGTTGATGGGTGCAGCAAATCACCATGGCAGATGATTGTAACAAACCTGCATGTTCTGCACATGTACCCCAGAACTTAAAGTATAACTTAAAAAATCTTTTTTGAAAAAAGGGGTTTTCTATCTTGGGGCATCAGGGAAAGGTATATGGAAGAGAAAAGAGATGAACTGGGCTTTGTTGGAGGGTGTATTTGTAACCTAGAGGGGAGAGATGTGTTCAAGGTGAAGAAAAAGCATCATGTAATTCATGCACTTTACAATTCCATGCCCTATACTATATGGATGAACCAAATACAGGCCGTAGCCTCATGGATCTTATTGTAAGTAGAAGAAACAAACAATGAATGAATACAAATGTAACATAACATTACAAATGGATTTTTACTATAGAGAAAAGTATACCTGTTAATGAGAGAAGAAAGTAGAGTGTTTAGAAAAGTTATTTCCAAGGTGGTGAACTTTGGGAGAATTGGAGCAAATTTGTTTGCACCAAAATTAAACTAAAATATATATACTTATGGTAATGAATCCTTTTTCTGGCTTAATTGTAGTGTGCAATACAGTCTTATAGTTCAGAAATTTATAAAGCATCAAAAAAGTGGAAATCTCCCTCCCATCCATATTTCACAACCACTGAGTTACTATCTCCCCCAGTCACTAAGTCTCTGGAGAAAAGTATTTCAGTTTGAGGAAATAGTAAAAAATGCTGTGAGACCATAGTGTTTTTTGCCATTTTTGAGAAAATGAAAGAGCTGGAGCAAGAGGAAGAATTACAGAAAATGATGTTAGAGAGATAGATCAGAGCATGTACATAGGGCCTTTGGGCCATGGAAAGACATCAGGATCCAACTAAGTGTGGGGGATGACATCAGAGTGTTTTGAGAAGTGTAGCAAGATTTGATTTGCATTTCTTAAAAGTTCACTCTAGGAATGTGTAAAATCAATAATAGGAGGACAAAAATGGGCCACCGGGAGGCCAGGTAGGAGACTATTACAGGAATCCTAGCACAAAACAAATGGAACTTAGATGAGGGAGGGCAAAGATAGAGAAAGCAGAATATTCTCTCCTACTCCTGTCAATTTAGGGATGCCTTTCAGGCAATCATTAGCTATATAACAATGGAAACAAGAAACAGCTGGACAGAGTTGTCTCTCTGTCAAATTCAAGATCCATTTTTTTGTTTTGTTTTTTGTTTTTGTTTTCTGGAACTTTCTCCATGCATGTCAGAGCCATACGATCACTGTCCCTCAAAGTGGTGAGTCCATGATTTAGAATAAAGCATTTTTCAAGTGAGAAGATTTAGCAAAGAAGGTATTGAACATAGGTAATATGTTTCATGGAGACTTCAAAACTAATTACAGAAATACTTATATATTGTTCATTGTGCTGATTAGCTACTGTATTAGTTTGTTTTTACGCTGCTCACAAAGACATACATGAGACTGGATAATTTATAAAGAAAAAGATGTTTAATGTCTTCACACTTCCACGAGGCTGGGCAGACCTCACAATCATGGCAGAAGGCAAAAGGCACATCTTACATGGTGGCAGGCAACAGAGAATTAGAGAACCAAGTGAAAGGGGTTTCCCCTTATAAAACCATCATATCTTGTCAGACTTGTTCACTACCCTGAGAACAGTATGGGGGAAACTGCCCCCATGATTTAAATATTTCCCACTGGATCCCTCCCACAATACATGGGAGTTATGGGAGTTACAATTCAAGATGAGGTTTGGGCAGGGACACAGCCAAACCATATCAGCTACTTAGTGTATCTTTTGGATTAAGAGTCCACACACTTTTATGAGTATTAAAAAGTATCGTGAAAATGGCCATACTCCCCAAAGTAATTTATAGATTCAGGGCTATTCCTATCAAGCTACCACTGACATTCTTCACAGAATTGTAAAAAGCTACTTTAAATTTCATGTGGAACCAAAAAAGAGCCCACATAACGAAGACAATCCTAAGCAAAAAGAACAAAGCTGGAGGCATCATGCTACCTGACTTCAAACTATAATCCAAGGCTACAGGAACCAAAAGAGCATGGTACTGGTACCAAAACTGATCTACAGACCAATTGAACAGAACAGAGGTCTCATAAGTAACACTACACATCTACAACCATACAAACACCTTATTTTGACAAACCTGACAAAAACAAGCAATGGGAAAAGGATTCCCTATTTAATAAACGGTGTTGGGAAAACTGCCTAGCCATATGGAGAAAGCTGATCCTGGACCCCTTCCTTATACCTTATACAAAATTAACTCAAGATGGATTAAAGACTTAAATGTAAGACCTAAAACCATAAAACCCTAGAAGAAAACTTAGTCAATATCATTCGGGACAAAAGCATGGGCAGAGACTTTATGACTAACACACCAAAAGCAATGGCAACAAAAGCCAAAATAGACAAATGGGATCTAATTAAACTAAAAACCTTCTGCACAGCAAAAGAAACTGTCATCAGAGTGAACAGGCAGCCTACAGAATGGGAGAAAATTTTTTCATTCTATCCATCTGACAAAGTGCTAATATCCAGAACCTACAAAGAACTTAAACAAATTTACAGGAAAAAGCAAACAACTCCATCAAAAAGTGGGCGAAGAATATGAACAGACACATCTCAAAAGAAGGTATTTCTGCAGCCAACAGACATGCAAAAATGCTCTCCATCACTGGTCATTAGAGAAACGCAAATCAAAACCACAATGAGATACCATCTGAGGCAAGTTAGAATGGCAGTCATTCAAAAGTCAGGAAACAACAGATGCCAGGGAGGATGTGGAGAAATAGGAATGCTTTTACACTGTTGGTGGGAGTGTAAATTGGTTAAACCACTGCAGAAGTCAGTGTAGGGATTCCTCAAGGATCTAGAACTAGAAGTACCATTTGCCCCAGCAATCCCATTACTGGGCATATACTCAAAGGATTATAAATCATTCTACTATTAAGACACATGCACATGTAAGTTTATTGTGGCACTATTCACAATAGCAGGGACTTAGAACCAACCCAAATGTCCATCAATGATAGACTAAAGAAAATGTAGCACATATACACCATGGAATACTATGCAGTCATAAAAAAGGATGAGTTCATGTCCTTTGCAGGAACATAGATGAGGCTGGAAACCATAATTCTCAGCAAACTAACACAAGAACAGAAAACCAAACACCGCATGTTCTCACTCATAAGTGGGAGTCGAACAATGAGAATACATGGACACAGGGAGGGGAATATCACACACCAGGACCTGTCAGGGGGTGGGGGGCTAGGGAAGGGATAGCATTAGGAGAAATACCTAATGTAGATGACAGGTTGATGGGTGCAGCAAACCACCATGGCACATGTATACCTATGTAAAAACCTGCACGTTCTGCACAGGTACCCCAGAACTTATTCCAAAAAAAAAAAAGATATAAATAAATGGGAATATAGTCCAATAAAATAAACTGAGGTTTTTAAAAAGTAATTGCCCCCTGTTCAATACTGTCATCTCCACTGACATCCTTATTTCTTTGCATATTCTGTACACCAGGCGTGGTTAAGAAATTGAGAGACTCTGTTAAAATCATTAATTTTCTGTGGTGTTTAAGTAACTGGGTTGACCCTTTAAGCTTATTGTATGATATTGCTTTTTCAGATTGAAGGCTTTCTGTCAGAATGCACTGCCTCCCAAAGGAGAAGATAGCTGCAGATCTTTCGGGCTATACTGTAGGAATGTAATTTGATTGTTCAACAAAGCATAGCAGCTAAACCATAGAACTGTTTGTTGTGTCGACTTCCTTGTTAGACCATGTTGAGGAGGAATGTAGATGACTCGATGCTCTGAGGAATTTAGATTTCTAAAATGAATTAAAATGCAATTTCTTTTTTCCCCATAGATATTTTTAAATGCAGAGACAATCAGGCTGGGAAATCTACCAACTGGCTCCTTCTCATCTTCTTCACCCAGCTCCTCAAGTTCTCGGCAGACAGTGTATGAACTCTGCGTCTGCCCCAATGGCAAACTGTACCTTTCTCCAGCAGGAGTAGGTTCCACTTGTCAGTCCAGTAGCAACATCTGCTTGTGGAGCTGAAGTGACTGATTTCTCCTCACACCAGAATAGCCTTTTGTTCCTGTCCGTCTGCTTCACGGTTCTGCTCGGTTTCCCTTGTGATCAGTCCAGAGCTTCTTTGAATGGTCCACAGAGCTACTTCCAGTATGAGCAGGGATTCGCCACCACCTTCTCTTGTGATTTACTGTACTGCTCAACGCAGAAGGTGTGATTGACACAGCAATGGAAAAAGCGTCGTCAGCAGGAAAACTGGATCAAGACTTTTGCTCAAAAGGGAGAATAACATAGGTGCCTTTGCTACGCGAAGTGAAGCACACAGTTTTAGATTTTTGCAGGAACTGGATATGAACTGCACATATACACATTACATAAATGAAATTCCCAGTATCCAATGGCAAGATGAAATGGTTAACCCTGTAAGAAAACTTATTCTACAGTCTGAAAGCACAATTTTCCATTCATCTTTTTGGATGTAAACTTTTATCCCCAACTTTTAAAATTTTAAAGCATTATGTAATGCTTGCTTTACTAAAACTTAAATTCAATACATGGTTTTTAACAAAACAGAACAAAACAAAACAATACAGAATCTCTCCCTGAGTCTTCTTTTTGTTTCTTTACTTTCAGTGTGTTGTTACTCTTTGTCTACTAAGTCTAGAATTTTGTACATTAGGTAATTTTGAAAGCACTCAGCAATATATTCTTTACAGAATTAACAAAATGCCATTATAATGTCGTTTGTCAGATCTGGATGGCCTTATATAGTATTTACATGGCTACTGCATGTGATGTATTTGCTTTTAACACAACATCTAATTTATTGCAATATAAGATAGGATTAAGGAGGACATATTGATGGTATTAAATCCATAGATCATTTTTTAAAAACTCACATGCTATCCTTGCTATCCTTTACACCTAGGTTTTAATAGTATAATTTTTGTTTGCTCCACTCACTTTACACTTGATTCTGACTGCTAAAATTCAGACATCCTCTAAATAAATACTAATGTGATGCATAATGCTGAGAATAAATTTACTTTCCATTGGGGTATCATCTTCAGAATTATTCGCCATTTTTTTTTTTACTGGAGGTTAGGATTTAAAGAAGTTAGAAGTTAACTTAAAATTTCTTGACTAAACACTGGAAATGTGTTTATTTCACTAGATTCATATTTTAGGGAATTTACTCCCATTTCTATTCAGCTGTTAACATGTATTTACTTTTATTAGATTCTTAAACTACATTGACCTCAAAAATTCTAGTTCATTTTCCAATGCTTATTTTTGTATATGACATCTTAGTAAACTCCAGAATATTGAAGATTCATTTATCACAACACCCCTTAACTCAAATTCTTGAAACTTACAGAGTCAAAGAATGTAAAACTGTATTAAATATTTCCTATTTATTATGGGAAGATGACTTAATTACTATAAGGTAAGTCCTGAATTTTCACATGTCAATCAACTTTTTTCTCCCACATGCACACTATCAACAGTGTGTTGAAACTTCCTTTTGGGGATTAACGGCTGTAGAATCTTTGGAGTTCAGGTCTCTACAGCTCAGAGTGAACTGGGAGATTAGAACTTGTTGCAAAAGATGTGGTTAGTGAAAGTAGAAATATTGGCAATGCAAGAAAAAAAGTGAAACATTTGACCAGAATTATCTTGTTTGCATAACCTAGCATATCAAATAACTGAAAAAGCTCATATCCACTGTACTCAGCAAAAGGGTTCAAAGGCTAATTTACTTTTATTATTTTTAAAATAAAATGTGGCTTATATTTGGGTGTTATTATATAACTTTTAAAATCAATATTGAAATAAGAATTATGATATACAATTGCTTACAAAGTTATCTGATAACACAAGAGTTTATATTAAAATAAGAGAATTTAAGAAATCTCACATTGGTCTTTGCAAAATAAAGTATAATACAAGAAATGTTGAGAAATTATGTGTGCTAATCACTATATTATGGACTTTTAAGGAAAACAGTATGTATTAATTTAAGACATATTCAAGTTCTAATCATACTTCTATTAAAATCATTAGAAACTTTCTAAGTCAAATGGGAATAATTCTTTTGAGTAGGAACTGGCCCTGTTTCTAATCTCAGCTGTCTTCTAATCAATTGAGCTGTTTTAGGCAGTTTGAGAATCTCCCCAGGCTTCAGTTTACTCAACTTTACAGCAAAAGTATTGAATAAAATAGTCTCTTGGGGTTCCTTTCTATTCCGACATGTTCTAATTTCAAGTACAAATATTACAGAGGGCAAAAGAGAAAACTGAAAATTTAAACTATATGTCTTAAGAGGAGAAAAGATGAAAAAAATGTAAAAACCAATTCCAGTGAGGGGCTGTCCCATTTTTAATTCAAATGTATTCTGAAAAGTATAGACACAATTCAAAAGTAACTTACAAGCTTGAGAGCTTTAGACTGTATCTAGATGATATAACAAATCTATTCAGTACAGTAGATGAAATAGTGATAGCGATGGTTTTCCTATTCAACACCAAGTTATTGCTTTAAGTTATTTGACTAGCTGTTTCAGATTTCTGAACCTAAGAGAAGATCCCTGCCTCAGAGAGATCAAGCCTATGGTGAAGGCTTAGAAGAATGGCCCCAAATGTCCTCGTTTTCCTCATTCAAACACAAAAAACATTTAAAAAGAAAAAAAATACAGTGGCCCCTTAATTGCACACTACCCAAACAGATTGTTTTCCCAGTACCATCTTTATGTTACAATATGTAAAAATATAATGCAGTTTACTTATATGATATAAATGTCATCTTCCCCAAATAACACTGAGAAAAATGATTCCTTTATAGTGTACTACATGGATGTGACTAAGCTTATTACCCATATCTTAATAACTTCATACTCAGTGTAGTCCAGGAAGGAACAAAGGGAAGAAGAAAAAGAGGTTAGTAGTACTGCTAGCATTTAAGTTATTTGCCGGGAATGGATAAACTGAGATGTATTTGAATTCAGGTTTGGGGGATCAAAAGGAAAGATGCAAAGAAGACACATTATTCTTTTCTTTTTCAGAAGATTTCAATTAAAACCTTCAAAAAAACAGCAAGAGCAACAAAAACTTCCAAATTCCCTACTTCTCTTGTTCAACATTTCCAAAATTTCTATCCGGTACTTATTAGTCACACACACACACACACACACACATATATATGTCTAAAATATATGTATTTTATTGTGAATGATATGCTTTATAATTTGTCATAATTATCTAAGAGTTTAAGACAATTATACACTTCAAATTTTACTGCAACTTGGGAATCTTAGATTACAGTACTTCAAATCTAGGAAAATGGAGCCAGCAAATCCAGTTCTAGTTCTCCCCCTGGCTAGTCATGTGAACTTACCTACTTAAGACACATATTTAATTACATTGGTCACAGTTCAATTATCTGTGAGAGGGATATATCAAACTAGACATTTCCTTTAGTCACATTCATTTTTAAATTTTTCTGATTCATTTAAGGAAGTACTCATAAATCTTAGGTTAAGTAGCCATATCTGAACTAGCATTTGTAATCTCCTTCTGCACCTTAAAAAGTCACTTATAAATGTTGAAATGCAAATCTTTTTGGCATGCTACTTCCTCTGCTCTTTTTTATACTCCCTTTTATACTCTGACCATTTGAACATTAAGGTTCCTTTGGAAAAGTCATGCTTGGTTAACAGGATTCAGTAATATGGTTGACGTTCAAAAGGAAAATAAAGCATTTGGGTCTTATTCAAAGTGACTGTTTAGGAAATAGAAATATTAACCAAATATAAACATTCTGTTGATTTGTTATTACCTCCATAAAGCTAAAAAGCAGTGAACTTTTGAAGAAATGATAATGTGATCACAGAGGTTAATTGCTGAACTGTTTATAACGTTTTATTCCATTCAAAATTTCTGCATATTCTATCTGAATGACTCAATCGGAGAATGCTTCATTTTACAAAAATAGCATTTGATACAATAAAACTTCTAATAAATTGTTTCACTGCAAACATGGTATCTCTGTATGAGGCAGCAACAGCCTGGAGAGTGTCTAAGGCATAGGAATGTTATATTTCATAGCAGATAATGTCAATATAATAATGTCAAATTATTAAAATCATTGAAAGTATTTAAAGGCCAAATTTTCTATAAAAACCATCAAAGCCAAATTCATATTTGAGTTTTATATGACGGAGGTCTTGTCACCTAATTCTTCAAGTAGCTGTGGTCTAATAAGAATTGTTCATGTGATCATATTTAATGACATATGGAGAAATTATTTGCTCTATGTACTGGTGTATATTACAGTAATGAATACTGCAAAATATCATCACGAAGTAAAGGAAAATTGCATTTGTATTCATTTTAAAAAATCATAAACTAATTGATAACTTAATTGAACACTATTGTTAATGTTGTTTTATACTGCAATTTATTAGTTGTTTAAATGTCAAAGACCAAAGAATGGGATTTCTACTGTATTTAGCTCGAAAACACTGCTGCTCCTACTAATATATTCAAATGAATAGGGGGGCTTGTAATTATAAGGTAGTTAACATCCTTCTTGGAGGATTCTGAGCTTTAGAAATTAAGGAATGCTTTTGTTTCAGAAGGGAAACATCATTAGTGTTGTCCACTTTTCTTTTATACATGCATAACAAACTCCTTGGTATTCATAAAACCTATACACAAAGACCATATCCCAAAATGGGCCCAGCATGGATCTACTCAGCTGAGTTTAAACTTTCACTGCTTGCTGAACATTATTTGGAGAATACAATTAATTTGAAATACTTGTAGAACCAGAGGGCTATTTTTTAATTGTTAACTGAGGTGGCTCTGCATTTTGAGAAAGCCAATGAAAACCATTAAAGGAAATGAGGTATAATGAACTGTAGTTCTTTTTTGTCTTTTTCAGTCTTAATATCTCATTTGTTTGAATATTTATAAATAAAAGCCAAACAGGGTTAAAGATAGACAAGGACATTCATTAACAATGGAGATGTGTAATTTGGAGTTTGAGTGTCTCGTTATTTATACAATTCTTTAAATCAGGTCCACTATTCATTTATTTTGTTTTGTACTTTCATGTAAATGTTTTCTTGTATATATAGATATATGAAAAATGGAACTATTTTCTTACACATACTATGCAACATGTTTGTAAAATTGCAATATTACCAAAATTACAAAAGCTGTGCTTTTGTACTCTATCTTGCTTTATGTAAAAATCACTTTTTCTATTTAAACGGACTGTCTGTCCTATAAACTGTAGATAACATATCTATTCAAAAATCAGTCTATTGTATCTTTTGTTTAGATTGAACTTAATTGGGGTATATTTTGGGGGAGAGAAAAATGCAGCAAAGTTTTGGCAGTTGGAAACCTTTTTTTCTCTGACATGAGACCTTTTGAAGCATGCAATGAGCTCATATAATTTAAGATCTCTCCTGTGATTCTTGTAATTTGTCCTAATTTTGGTGCTACTATGTAAACATGATTAAATGTGATAGTCAAAACAAAGAGGATAAAAACTGACATGCTATCATTTCATTTATTTTATTGAGTTTTTAAAAATAGTTC